TGGAGTTACAGACTTTAATTGATGTCCACTTTGAGCAGAGGAAGAAAGAGGAGGAAGAACTGATCGGTCTCAAGGAGAGAATTGTATCTCCCAGTCTTTATCACTTCATTTTTTTCTCTTTTATTTACCACAAAAAAAAAACTTTCCATACTCACTTTTCTCTTTACTTTGCACTAATTTTCGGCCATTCGGTCCATCAGGAGCGACGGCGAGCAGAAAGAGCAGAACAGCAGCGTGTTAGAGCAGAGAAAGAAAGACACAGACATACAAGGATTGCGGTAAATCAATAAAACTTAGTAAATAAAATGCTCAAATGCTCTCTAAGTTGTATGTGGAATTTAATACAGAATAAAATCGATGTGAAATGTATTATCTATGCTCACTCATCAGGAAGAGCGTCAGAGGAAAGAGGACGAGGAGGCTAAGAAGAGAGCAGAAGACGAGGCCAAGAAGAAGAAGGTTTTGTCCAATATGGGGGCAAACTTTGGTGGCTTCTTAGCCAAGGTAAGTTACTGTTGTGTACATGTGTCTTACCTTATGTACATTAAAACATGTTTGTACATATGTATTTTTGTGTTTGTGTTTTAGGCAGAGCAGAAACGAGGGAAGCGTCTGACTGGACGAGAGATCAAGAGAAAGACTCTTTCAGAGAGGCACTCTCCTCTTGGCATTGAAAATCTGCGAGAGGATGGGTTAAGGTAATCACCCACATACACATCTAAATACAGTCATATGTTTACTGTTATGCAAGATGTGCAATGATCAGTAAATTTACATCTAAAAGTGTGTTCCTTTTCAGACTCTAATGTTTTTTCCCCATGCTCCTTGTTTTTATTTAAACCTGACAGTTTTGCATCATATCTGTTCCTTACTCCCACAAAACAGGCAACGAGCTCAGGAGATGTGGAACTGGATTTACCAGCTGGAGTCAGAGAAGTTTGACCTCTTGGATCAAATGAAGAGACAGAAATATGAGGTGTGGCGATTTGATAAAGAATTGAGGTTTGAGAAATCTAGGTGTTGGCGACTGATGAATAAGGATTACACTGTATTAAATCTGTTTGTTTTGGCAAATACTAATCTGTGTTCGGTTGAATTAGAGGAAACCAGATGAAAAGATAGAAAGTGAAAGCCAGTGAAAGTGCAAGTGATACAGTGTACTTATCTGAACTTTGCTTTCTTCTCAACAGATTGTTGTTCTGTTGAACAGGATTTCCCACGCTCAAAAGTTGTAAGTCACATTAACTTAATTAGCAAATTGTTTAAATGCTGAAACACACTACATCTGAACAGATTTTATAATATTAGGTATCATTCACTTGCTAACTTTGTAAATGGTTATAGAGAAAAATAGGGAATCATACACTAAACAACAGAGTCACACACACACACTACCAGACTTCCAAACATAGCAAACTCACTCAGAAACGTGCGCCTGGTTGAAACATGTTTGATTTTTTCAGACTGGATAAAATCAGAGTCATGACTACGCCAGGGCCGGCACCAAGGTGGGGCTCTTGCCCCTCCAGACTTGTTACTATGCCCCCTTCCCCTCTTCTCCCCTCCTTGCTGTATGTGATCGATTTTGAAAGTGATAGCGGAAAAAAAATGGAGAGTATTGCATGCTTTCATGGGCGTTAGCACCGCTCAACATGAATTATAAATGAAATGTAAATGTCCACTACCCAATATAGGTGCCCTGGTGCCGGCTCTGGAAGCTGTTAAATCTGACTGTCTCTGACTTTAACCTTCACCAGACTGTAAATCAGTACAAAAAGCTAGGCAAAAGTTGTGTAGTGTGTTTCTAACTTAAAGGGATAGTCCACCCAACATATCTTCTTTTGTGTTTCACAGAAGAAAGAAAGTCATGTAGGTTTGGAACAACATGACAGAGTTAATGATGACAGAATTTTCAATTTTGGGTGAACCAACCCTTAAGCATTTTTCTTCAATGAAAATTTTATTTAAAATGTCCATCTGTCTCAGTTATGCTCATGTTTCACCTCTCTCTTTATCACAGCAAAAAAGGCCATGGTAAAGGAAAAGTTGGAGGTCGCTGGAAATAAGAAATTGGAAAAATAATGAAAAGACACCATGGATGCTTTTACTTTTGTCTCTTCGGTCAATTTCACAGCCTGTGCAAAAGAATAACAGTTCTGAATGTATTCAAAACTCCTCTCAGATCTGATGTGCTTGAATTAGATTAATCACTTCTGTATTATTTTCATTCGCAAGGAACGTTGGATAAAAGTGTCTGCTAAATTAATAAATGTAAATGAAAAATGAAAAATGCATCTGAATCATCATTTATTCTTTGCAAAGCAGACTGGAAATGCAACATAAACTAATTCACTCCCAAAGGGAAGAGGAATGTATGTTGAGGAAATTAAAATAAGTTGTGTGTCAGAGAGAAGTGGCTTTGACATCATTTAAAGATGTTCGTCTTCGTTCATCATGTTTAAAACATGGCCTGAGAATCCTGTTTTCATGACGCTGCACAAAAGTTGTGGTCTCCAGCTCACATGCCTCACTATTAAAAGCTTAAATCATTTCCTTAAATGTACTTTCCTACATGTCTTTTGGTCAGTTTTCATTAGTTTGCTGAAGTAAAATGGGATGTTATCAAGGAACCCAAAAGATGAAACTGTTCTGTACATCAGACACGAAGCCTCTTGTGCAGTAGTGAGTGACACAATAGTAAAGAACAGGTTGAGGGAGGATTCAGAGATGGAGTGTTCACCTATACAAAATAGCATTAAGCTGTAGTTCCCAGCAAATATTTGTGTGAAAATTACAAGTGTAATTGTCAAAAGGTGTGTACTATAATTGTTAAGACTTGCTGAAGGCAATCGACAGGCCCACATTAACACTAGGCTACATTACGTCTTAACAGAAGGATAGGCTTTGAGTTAACATGTAGGCCTAATTAAATTAGTCTCACTTCACAGTAGTTTTAGGTAAAGTGCAATGTATATTGTGTTCATGTTGTATTGTTGTAAAACACGTTTGCTGCTATACAAAAAGTGTTATGGGTGAAGGTAAAGGTTGGTCAGTGAAAGGTTTCGTGGCGGGTGGGTTAGGGAAAGGGGCAGGGTCACCTGTGAAATTATAGATGTATCATACAGAAATTATTTAAAGATGTATTTACATGCAGGCATTATATGAAATGTACCGCACATATATGTGTAGCCCTCTCTCTCTCTGCGTGCTAACTGGCCTCTAGCACCGCCGCTGCTGTGTTGTGTTCGTGGGTGGTGGTCGAGAGGAGACACGGACACAGAGGGGTTCGGGATCGTGGCTTGATTTATTCCACAGCACGGCATCTATAGTGTTGATAACATGAACTGAAGAAAAGATGGCGCACTACACGCCTATCAACACTACGGTAACTTACATCAAAAGGCTCAAACAGTGCTCAAAATACTTGAATCTGCCCTAACACAACAGTGTCATAGCGACATCTTGTGGACAACACAATACACTGCCCTACATATGTATTAGAATTTCTGACATTTTTAACCTGATTTAACCAATTGTTGATCTGCAATCACCATCTGGTGGTCGTGAGCGCTTGTTCATAACAAGTTAACTTAGTAGACTAGCAAAACTTCATGTTAACACCACGCCTCCTGCTGGTAAGTAGATCTTAATACAACGTTCTTGCTGTGTGAACAAGCATGCTAATGTATACAAGCTTCCCGAAGAGCCTTTGAGAAACCAATTTAAAAATCATTCTTATACTTAATGCAAGGCTAGTCTCAAAGCAGCAGTGTTGTAGCATGACAGTCGCAAATTCGCTTTCTTGTAGATGTCATGCTAATATGGATTAGCATCGTTAAGAAGATTATTAATGTAAGAAGATTATTAATCTAAAACCAAAACTTACTACAATATTCTCAAGATATACATTGGGTGCATAAACTCTCTCAATCACGGTCAGTATATCATTTTGGCTAGCTTGCAATGCACCGATTTGCATCTTGGTTTGTGTTCATCTGTAACAACAAAACATGAAGAGTTCAGATGCAAAAGCCTCTAAGTGCCATTTGAAATTTTCTTCTAAAATGAGCATTTTTCTCACGCTCCTATTCAGTATTTTCACTTTAATGGCAATGAATAGTCTTTTCATTGCCATTAAAGTGAAATAACTGAAAATAAACATAGGAGCCTGACAAAAATGCTCATTTTAGAAGAAAATTTCAAATGGCACTTAGAGGCTTTTGCATCTGAACTCTTCATGTTTTGTTGTCCTTAACCAATTCATATTTTTAACCAGTTAACTTACTTTTTATTTAAAATGCTGTCTCTCTATCCCTAATCACTCTGTATGACTTTGTCTGTGTCCTTTCTAGTCTCCTTCATCCTCTCTGCACTCCCGCCCTTCACTGGCTGTAAATCCCTGCTCACATGTATGGCTTAGTCCAGCACTGCACCACAAGATTAATCCAGGCTTCCACCTACAACTGGACAACTCTAAATACTACTGAAACCAACCAGACAATTGCTTTTGGTTAACATGTTTACGTATAATAATGGCTGCCATATTAATAAATCATTTTATATTATGATGGAATATTTACCAACAGTTAATGACTAGTTTTTACCCCCCAGAATTATACAACTATTGTGTGTCTATTTGTACATGAAATGAAAACACGTCTTGTATCCAATTGTTGTGTTTATAGTCATCTTGGTTCAAAGAAAAAAAAAGACGAGGCAAATCAGGACAGTTCCCAGATAGCACATGTACGTCTGCAAGATGTCTGTTAAGGATCGCTTCATCTAGAAAGCATCTGCTGTGTACAAACATCTGATAGACGTCTTTAAGATGGCAGTGTTACATTCATCCTAAATCATAAACAGTCATTTTCTAAACGTCTATTTGACATCTGACAGGAAACGTCCTAAGTTATTGCAGATAAGCAAACACTAAAAAAATACATCTTGCAGATGTAAATGCAGACGTCAAATAGATGTCTCCATGCTGTACGTGTGCTATCAGGGTTTTGGACAGATACAAACACACAACACTTTCAAACAAACACACACAGTTATCATCCACATACAGACACATTTAAATAAGAAACACAATCCAGATGAACATAACATTTATAAAAGTTACTTCTCCTTTGTTTCACAGTAAAGAAGGGTACAGGAAATGATGTTAATAACGTAACAGACAGAAACTCCTCCGTGAAAGGACGGATGAAATTTAAATGATTTTGCCTGATGTGTGCTGAAAACTTTATGTTGAGGGTGGATAAGATATTTAGCGGATAGGTGCTTTAAGGGCAGCATCTATTTCCTCTTCAGGCTGAAGGGTGTGCCACTGGGCCACAGGTCGTCTGGGATTGGCCAGCATGTCTGACCAGTGGCGCAGACCCACTCCGCTAGCACCAAACCCAATCCAGCACTTCCCAATTGGATCATTGCTTCCCAGTTTATCATAGTCGTAGACAGTGAGCAACACCTGGATCTTCTACAGGAAGTCAGAGGAACAGAAAAATAGGTCAATACGCATTTAATCCACTTTGTTGTTTCTTATCAAACCTTTCACTTGTAAACAGATGAGTTTAGTAGACTGAAAATGTTTTGCTGTAGTATTTACTTTGAAACAGTCAGATACCAGAAGCATTTAAAATTCAAGATTTTGCAAGTAAAATTCACAAATAATTAAAAAAGAAATGGCAAGTAACATTGAATTAAATGTGAAATTCTGAAGTATACTGAAATAATCTGTTTTATTTACTTCAAAAAAAAATTTTTTTTAGTGTAGTAACATTATCACTTTAAACATACTATATATAGTGAAAAGGTCGCATTTTGCGGAATTAAAGGACCACAAATATAAATCTGTAAATGTATTAGATATGCAAGTAGTCAAAGAAATGTGTTTCAACCATGTTTACCTGAATCTGAGCGAAGGGGACTTCAAAGCTGAAGCTTTCATTAAAGTAGGGGTTCAGTGTGTTCTGCTTAACTGTTGTCTTCTTCTTCTTGATACGCTTTCCATTGTGTTGCAAAACCACTTTCACAAAAGGATCTTTGACAAAAAAGGAAAGAAAATGGATAAAGCCAAGAAATGCAGCAACGCCAGGATATTTCAAAGTAAAAAAGTCTTATTACTTTAAAATAAAGTCACATTTGATGTGTAGAGAATCATTTCATTTTAATAACGAATTGCAACACAGAAAGGAAATGTAACTTTAACATAATAACGCTACCACACTAACCTGATAAACCACCCACGTCCATCTTCTTCAGGTTCTTGGCCTCCATGATACAGACAGTCAGCTTACCAGAGGTGGGCACATAGCGCAGGGAGATACAGACGTCTCCCAACTTTTCTTGCTGTTGGAGAAGAAGAGGAGAGTGATTAGTTTAAAAGCATCAAAAAACAGACTATGGCAGCTGATAATTTATTTTTTTAAAACAGCCAAGGAAAGCCTTACTTCCTCTTTCTGTCCTCCGACCAGGTCTTTCCATTCGTGTATGGGCTGGGCCAGGTCAATGCTGTTCATAGGGATTTTGATCTCTCCAATTACATCATGTTTACCAAAGCGGTCAAAGTCAAACACCTGCAGGACCAGAGTCTGTCCTGCTAGATCATTAAAGGGGATCTAGAAACAGAAATAAAAAATCATGTTGCATGAACACTGACCTAGTACCATTTATGCAAAGAAAATGTATTTGCTTTGTTTAGAAAAAAAGGTATGTTGCACTTAGTCTACTGTGAAATTAAGATAAAGTTTATGACAAACTGTCTAAACTAATCTCAAAAAATGTACCTTAAATATGAATGTCTCGTTGAAAACAGGACACAGATTCTTGCGCTGGACCTTGGTTTCAAACTTTTTCTTCTTGTCTGGTAGCATATAAACTTTGACATATGGGTCAGATGTTCCACCCATATCCATGGCAGCAAGGTCTTGGGCTTGCAAGACACCGACAATGAGCTGAAGGTAGTTGAAGAAAAGGTTGTGGGTCAGGTTTTCAAAATCAAGTAGCTAGTCACACATTTTTTAGAATAGTAATTATAGCATTATTATTTATTTTTATATTGTTAATTTGTGTAAAAAATATTAGTTAATCATATGAACTCACAATCACAATGCATATTAAGAACATCTACTTTCAACCAACCTGATTGTCAGTGAAGTTATAGTCCAGAGTGTACTCCAGCTTGCCATAATATTCTTTCTCTCCCTCGCCCTCTCCATCTTTAGGTTGTACCTAAGTATGGGCAGTATACATTTAAAATACTTGAGCAAAACTTTAAGCCAAACATTCCCATTTCTTTTTAACATTTAGATTAAAATGAATAATTTGACACATCAAGATCTGAAAGAGCTTCATTCTCTCTGAACACTATGGCCTTAACATACCTCGCCTGCTTCTTCCTCTCCTTCCTTTTTCATCCTTCTTCGTCCTCCCTTCCTCTCTCTGACTTTTTTAGTTTTTTTCTTCCCTCCCAAGCACTTCTTATAGATACAGAAAGCAAAGCAGCCAACCAGGGCAAGCACGACCACAACTATGGCACCAATAGCCCACATGGGCACTATGCAATGGAGCAAGAAAGAAAATTAGAGAGAGAGAAAAAAACAATGATCATCATTTCATTTCTGTTAGTAAAAAAGACATGACTTCAACCAATTACACATTTTCTGCTAAATGAATAAGTAGATGGATAGGTGGATGGAGGACTGACAGAAAAAGACTTAGGAAAATTGGAACTTACTTTTGATCTTGGGGTCTGTTGATGGAATAGATAAAAACATGAAGGATGCACATGGAAGTGGACAAAATGGAGGAATTAATTGATCACGCACACACTTTTATATATGTATATATATATACAAATACAAATATATGCAGTTTGATGGGAATGTGTGTTTTGTAATGATAATATGATGAAATATGAATGATCCCAGCTGACACCAGACAACAATTTAATGTCAGTACGACATTGGACCGACGTAAATTTTGCCTGAAGATGAAAATCAGGTTGATATGAAAAGCCAACATTTGAGAGCCATTATTTATAAATTTTTTTACTTAATACCATGACTAAACCAATAAAATATCATTGTCTAATGACATTGTACATTTTACATTGTGTGGATGTTAAAGGGACAGTTCACCCAAACATGAAAATTCAGTCATCGTTCCAAACCTGTGTTTTGGAATTCTTTCTTCTGTTAAACACAAAAGAAGATATTTTGAAGAATGTTGGTAACCAAACTGTTTCTGGTCCCCATTGATCTCCATATATATATATAAAAAATTTTTTTTTTTTTTTTTTTTTTTCATTATTTGGAAAGCAAAGGG